GATGCTGTCCCCAGTGCATGCCATGTTAGGGTCAGTGCGGATGATGATCCCAGTGCATGCCATGTTAGGGTCCGTGCGGATGCTGTTCCCAGTGCATGCCATGTTAGGGTCAGTGCGGATGATGATCCCAGTGCATGCCATGTTAGGGTCAGTGCGGATGATGATCCCAGTGCATGCCATGTTCTTTTCATCTGCAACAACTTGCTATCAAATTTATGGCAAAATGGTTTAAAATTATTTCTTTATTGCCATTTACTTTGCAAAAGCAACCCAAACCCTATAAAGCAGGGTCCAACTCCGGTCCTGGAGAGCTAATATCCAGTAGGTTTTCTCTCCCACTTGGCTTCTGATGAGCCAAGTGGGACAGGTATTTACCTGGTATTCATCAGAAACCGGGTATGACAGAAAACCGACTGGATGGTAGCTCTCCAGGACTGGAGTTGGAGACCCCTGCTGTAAAGTGTGTGTATTTCGAATGGGTGACAGGTCTCGAGCAGCCAGGCCAATGAACAATGCAGACTCTTCTACTACACTGTTGTAATATGCATAGCATGCAGTTGGGCATCGTCTTGCTGAAATATATCAGGCCTCCTCAGAAAAAAGACGTCTGGATGGCAGCATATGTTGCTCTAAAACTTGTATATATATATCATTCAGCATTAGTGGTGCTTTCCCAGATGTGCAGGCTACCCAAGCCATGGGCACTAATGCCCCCCCATACCATCATGGATGCTGATTTTTGAACTATCTGCTAATAACAAGCTGGATGGTCCCTCTCCTCTTTAGCCTGGAGGATGCGGACTCCATGATTTCCAAAAAGAACTGGACATTTTAATTCATCAGGCCAGAGGACAGTTTTCCATTTTGCCTCAGTCCATCTTAAACAAGCTTGGGCCCAGAGAAGTCTGCGACGTTTCTGGATCATGTTTAGATATGGCTTTGTCTTGGTATGGCAGAGTTTCATCCTGCATTTATGGATGCATCAACAAACTGTGCTCACAGACACTGGTTTTCGGAAATGTTCCAGTAAATGATCGTGTCTGATTTTAACGTACTGTAGTACCACCTGAGGACCAGAAGATCACCTCTATCCAATATTGGTTTTTGGCCTTGTCCCTTTTGTACAGAGATTCCCCTGGATTCTCTGAATCGTTTAATATTATTTTGTAATAAAAAAATTGTAATATCAAAACCCATACTGTTTCAAATCATGAGGTTCAATGCATCAACGTTTACTGGACACTCAACGTAGCTGAAGTTTTCGGCATGCGTTGTGCAATTGTACATTGTGCAATGTGCATCCACTGCGTCCTACTGCTATTCCTGTCACTTAAATAGTCACACTTTCCTGTTCTTTCTTTAAATACAAAATAATGCTGTTGAATTTGTAATTGTTTACATGTTTTGTTTTTGTTTGATATTGCTGTAGCGTACCATTTGATGATTGATGTCAGAAGTATAGAGTGTTGACTTGTCATGGTTGCGGGCGTCTCGGGCACGGGAACGAGGCATAGTGCAGGCACAGAAAGGGCGGACGACCCACTTGCGGCTCCAGGAACAGAAAAGGGGTTTATTAAAGAAAACAGAAAACACTACAAATGACTAACCAAAAACAAAGGACCACAGGGGGGTCAAACACAAAAGGGAATAAACTAAGACTAAATCACAAAACCGAATACACATCAAACACTGAAAATAGCAAAACCATCGAACAACAACCATCACATAGAACACTAATGAACCACTGAGGAACTAAACAGAAGCAGGAACTAAAATACTAAAGGGGTAACGAGACTAACACAGGACAGGTGAGACTGATTAACAAAGACCAGGGAAACAGGGCACAGGTGAAACTAATAACTAACCAAGGAAACAGAACACTGGGGAATTACAGACAGGTAATTAAGACAAGCAGGGGCACAAGGAACAAAACCAAAAACCATATACAAAATCAGACACAAGAACTAAAGAAACTCAAATGAAACACTAGGGAGCAAAATACAAAAACAGGAGGTGGGATTCAAACATAGGACAGAAGGGTACACAGACAACCACATGCTCAACACATTGAGCCACAAGACCAGACAGGAAACAGGGGAAACTCAAAGACAAACATGAAGGACGGGATGACCAGCAATGCCTGCTGGTCAAACGGGGAAGGGACACGGAAGGACCACAGCAGGGGCTGACCCTGACATGACTATAATACTGGACTTATAAATCCGCTGTTCTACAGAAAACCACTGTTGCTTTTAAGTGGAATATGGCAACCGCTGTAGCAGAGAAGACAGAGACAGGCAAAGACTTTGACATCTGGTTGATTGGGAGGATGTTGGCGAAAATTGTTGGAAACCAGCTACTAACCAACGAGCAGGTACTGGGATGCCTGATTTTGTTCTTGAGAAAGGAAAACAGAACATTGTCAGACAGTGCTTCCCAGACTATCAACGCGGTATTTGAATTCTGGCTCTCACTCTAAATCTGCTGAAATATAAAGCAACAACACACAACAGCGTGTTTGTGGAGGCAGCCATGTTTGTTATGAGATGTGTAGCTCGAACGGGAGATTGGTCGGATGTGACGTCATGCACTTCGGAACTTCCGACTTCCGAGAGATAATCGAATGCAGGATAATGGTGCGTTCGATTATCTCTCTCCAAGTTGGAACTTGGATTAAAACGTCACGAAAAACGTCACTTCCCGTCGGAAACACGCCTCGTTGAAGTCGGACAAGATTTTGTTGTCCGAGTTGCCCCTGTGACGTAATTTCAACATGGCGACTTGGTTTGTTTGTAGTTTGTGTACCGTTCGAAAAAAGAATATCGCTATGAATGTACTAAAATATTTTATAAAGCTTTTAATGTGGTTAATGTGGTTTGACTAGTTCGTGTTTCTTGTTTGTCTCTCGGAAAAATCTCCATTTCTCCATTTGGAAAACTTCAAATCTGCTAAAATATAAAGCAACAACACACAGCAACGTGTTTATGGAAGCAGCCATGTTTGTTCCGAGATGTGGGTAGCTCGAACGGGAGATTGTCAGACGTGATATCACTCAACTCGGAATTTCCGAGTTCCGAGAGAAAAATGAACGCACCATTATGGTGCGTTCGTTTTTAATCCGTAATAGTAGGGCTGCCACAATCAGTTGACGTAGTTGATGACGTCAACATCAATATTTTAAATCGACACATTTTTAAATAATTATTTTGATGAAATTACCATTACGATTTCTAAAACGCTTCAATTCACTATACATATGTTTTCCTTTAATATTACTGCGTAATTATGGGAGTCATTCAAATTATGACAAAACAAAAAGGTGGTCTTACACTGTGCAGAGTTCGATGGCATGCTACATGGGCACCAGCGCTATGCACGAGCGCCTGAAGAGAAAACATAGAGGCGCTATTCTGGATCACCAGAATAAACAAAACCACCCTAAGTACTGTCTATTTATGTTCATTAAATTACCATTAGTACAGAGAGCTTTTTAATATTTTTGTCTTTATAGTTGCTAAATACACTCATCATTAAAGCCATAAAATTGTCTGCCTGCTACCTTAGAATCTCCATTGAATAATTATTTGACAAAATGTTTAGGCTAAAATAAAAAAGGAAATTCTTTTTACAAAAAAAAAAGTGTCGGACTTTAATCAGCAAATTAGCGCCACACCACCAAGATCGTTTTACTTTGTTTATATATACACAATATTTCCTCTTTTGACAGACGTGGTTGCTCTGTTGTCCTTTTCTTGACTTCACTGCTTATTGCTTCCATGATTTACCAAACCAGTCACATGCAGCGCGCTCCGCTAACCAAATTTAATAAGAACAAGCATATGCCGAATTTAGTTTTGGGCATCACGATACGCATCCCATTAACATTTTAGGCATACTACTAATTTGCTTATCGAATTGTGGGTGAAAATAATGCAGAAAAGCCGGCGTCCATTATCTAAAGCCCTATAATAACATTCAGTTTGTTATTGTCAAAATAAAATTTTAAATTTACTTAAATTAAAGTGTCTTGATTTTCTGGAGAAAAAAAATAACACTGGACACTAGCAGTAATATCACAGTATTACCAGACTCACAGTAGACAGACAGTGACCTAACTCACCCAGCTGATGGACACTAGCAGTAATATCACAGTATTAACAGACTTACACTGGACAGACAGTGACCTAACTCACCCAGCTGATGGACACTAGCAGTAATATCACAGTATTAACAGACTCACAGTAAACAGCCAGCACTATGAGGGCCGTCAGCAGCAGGAAACACAGCAGCCCCAGACACACTACAGCCAGTCTGTGGTCTCGTCTCCCTGCAGGCTCAAATCCTGGGAAACACAAACAGCTACATTGCTGAGGCTCACTGGAAAACACATCAGAGACACACTTCCACAGTGAACGATGCCGCTGTGTTTCCTGATAGATGGTGCGTTTCACTTCAGACTGAACATTTTCAGAAGAAACTTTTTCTGGCATGACTAGCTTACCTTCATACATGCTCCTTGGCTTCCACCTTGTCTGTGCAGATCCATATGGTTTATGAGTCATATGGAAGTAGGTTTAGTAACTTTTCTAACTCTAAAGTGTCTCTCTCAGTTAATCTGGCTTTCTCAATAATCATTGCCCTTATTGCTTAATTTGCTTTTATCTCTTTACCTGGACATTGAGTTGCGTTGCTCCTCTGCCTGATCTGGTCAGTAGTGTTGCTGAGACAGATGTTCTCCTTGGACATGGTTGCAGCTCCCAGCTTCCTCACTGTGCTCTCTGTGTCTGTGTTGTGTCTACTGGGGATTTTATGCTATATGTAACTTTAGCGGTTGACTATAAAAGTAACTGTGAAGTGAAACAAGCTTACTAATTTTTTTCATTGCTGTAAGAAGCCAATACTCCATAGTCTCTGAATGCTACTAATGTTTCACTTTCTGCTGATTAGAATAGCTGCATTGTGGGTTCTTGCTCATTATAAGTTCTGTAGTTCCTGTGCCGTACAGCACACACTGTACCTGGGCATCCATCAGAAGCTCAGCCCAGCCGCACTTATGCCTCGTGGCTCCTAGACAGCCGTATGTCTGTAATGAGCTAATTGTCTGACTTGTACGCTGCTTTGGACAATAGCGTCTGCTAATTGAAGTAAATGCAAATGTAAGAGGCCACCCTATATTGCCTTAAATTTTAATATTTTGTTTTACAGTGATCCCCTGCTATATCACGGTTCAGCTATCGCAGATTTTTCCCCGACGCGTCACAGTTCTACAGGTATGTGTATCGCTTACCTTGCTTGATTGTTTTTGTTTTGTTTTTAACCCTATGATGACTCCTAAGCATCCCGCATCTTGTAAGCCTTCTGGTAGCAGTGAGCCTAAGCGCCAGAGGAAGACCTTGACCATTCAGGAGAAGGTAAAACTCCTGGATATGCTTCGGGAAGGAAAGCGTCGCTTGCCATTATGGCTTGAATGAATCGACCGTACGATACATCAAGAAGGATGAAAAGAATATAAGAGCATCACTTTCCTTTAATCAAACAGGAATTAAGAGGGTGGCAACTCCTCGGAATAAAGCCATTGTTAAAATGGAATCACATACATATACATTACATATTATTATTATTATTATTATTATTATGTTACTCATAACCTTAGCCCGACATCCACATATCATAGGTGTTGTTGCAATAAGTTTACATGTGTTTAAAGTGTGTGGGAGGGGTATTTTAAGGCTTAAACGATTTAAAAAAAAATGTATACGGTCTTTCTATATTGTGGATTTTCACCTATCGCTGCTGGGTCTGGAACGCATCTTCCGCGATAGGCGGGGATCAGTGTATTTGATATGTTGCAGAGGGTGGCATGGTGGTGCAGTGGTTAGCACTGTTGCTACACACCTCTGGGACCAGGGTTTGAGTCTCCACCTGGGTTACATGTGTGTGGAGTTTGCATGTGTTGTCGTAGGGTTTTTTCTGGGTATTCTGGTTTCCCCCCACAGTCCAAAGAAATGCTGAGGCTAATTGGAGTTACTAACTTGTGAAGTGTGTGTGTGTGCATGTGCCCTGTGATGGGCTGGCCCCCCTTGTGCACATAGCTTCTGGGATAAGCTCTGGACCCCCCCCCCCAGAAGGATAAGTGCTTTGTAAAGTGGCTGGATCATATGTTGATATGTAAGCACTACAAAACAAAAGCAGTAGAGGAACATTACATGAGTTTATTTAACAGACACTTTTACCCAAGTAGATGTACAGGTGAGTATGAGAGAGCAGGTCAGCCAGCATCTTTGGACCAATTGGGGTTAAGGGTCTTGCTCAGGGGTCTGGGGGTGTCATACAGCATGTTGGGTTCCAGTTTTTGTTTCCTTTTATCTCCCTTTTCCCCATCTGCCATTTACAGGATTTTCTGATCGCGGTGCCAAGGTATGTTGCTTGAACCCGTCCAGAGTCCTGCACCGGGTCGGGTACCCGCAGATAGTTGCTGAAACGGGCAGATTTTAATGTTCTGGAATTTTACGGGCAGGTATGAGGGCGGGTAATTCATTACACACAGGCGGGTAGCAGGTTAATCAAAACAGTATTATAGCCTGCAAAAATAACATATAAGCGAAAATATCTATGTATTAGACTATCATGTACAAATTGTCATCATCACAGTGTGTTCAGTATGTCGGAGGTACCTTATGGTGCTTTCGATTACTGTATTTCTCTCCAAGTCTTAACTCGGATGAAAACGTCATGAAACGTCACGAAAAACGTCACTTCCCATGGGAAACATGCCTCTTTTATCACGTTGATGTCGGACAAGATTTTGTTGTCCGAGTTTCCCCTGTGACGTAATTTCAACATGCCGGCTTACACACTCAACAGTAAGTCTATTTATAAATCTTAAAAAATGTTTATTTTGTTAAATGTATTAATAGTTATAAATGTAACTGCATGTCTTAGAATTTAGAGAATACCATATTATGACCGTAAACAGTATCCTATCATGCAAAATCAGATTTTTACCAGACTTGTTAGTGTCTTTGGTTTGTTTGTAGTTTGTTTGCCTCTTGAAAAAAGATTATTGCTATGAATGTGCTAAAATATTTTATAAAGCTTTTAATGTGTTTGATTAGTTCTTGTTTCTTGTTTGTTTGTCTCTCAGAAAAAATAATCTCACTCCAAATCTGCTAAAATATAAAGCAACAACACAGCAGCGCATTCATGGAGGCAGCCATGTTTGTTCCGAGATGTGGTAGCTTGAACGGGAGACTGTCGGACGTGATGTCACTCAACTCGGAATTTCCGAGTTCCGAGAGAAAAATGAACGCACCATTAGATAACCACCTCGACAAACATTCACATACACGTCTGAATCCTTGCTGAAGCGTGTCGCCATGTTCTCTCTTTCACGCTCGTCACAGTATGAATACATAGCTTAGATCTACCTGATTTGGTTTTGTGTTAAATGGACTTTTTCGTTTCAATTCAAAATTCATGTAGGCCTCGCGCCTGTCACGTTGAGAGGTGCATAGAAAAATAATTGTGCGTAATTTATCACGGGTACGGGCGGGTAACGGGCAGAATGTTAACGGGCCCGGGCGGGTGCGGATTTAACTTAGAAATAATCACGGGTGCACGGGAGGTTGTGGTGCTGTACTGTGCGGGTGCGGGCGGGTGCAGGTCTCCAAAAGTGGACCCGTGCAGGACTGTGAACCAGTCTCTGTGTGCTTTGACCAATGAAATGGGTGGAGTTACTGGTTATCAGAGGAGCCGGATGAGCATTCTGGCTGTGACTGGCACTGTGCCATCGTCCTGCTAGCTGTTGTTATTCTACAGTATGTTTCATGATTGTTTGATTCAGTAATAAGTGTTAATTTCCAATTGTTACTAACACTTCCTGATTGCCTGGTTAAATTGCCCGCTAGCTTTGACCACTCTACATCTTATTCTAATAACCTTATGCCGATTTTAAAACTAAACACCTACATTGCCCATAGCATTCTTGTTTGTCTAAACACCCCAGGTTAGGAGGAGCGTGCCCACCCTGTATTTTGGGTTAGCCGTTGGTTAGCCTAGCTTTGCCCCTTCAGTATCTCATTTAGTGCGGATAAGTTGCTAAAGGCTTTTTTTTCCTTTCCCATGCTGCCTTTCTCAGGGGAGAACCTGCTGGAACAATTTAACTTATTCTATAGATTGTAGTTCATGAGCATTAAATGCGTAGAATCTTATCTGTTCATCTTTTGATTATCTTCTCTGGTTCCCTCTGACGTCAGATATTTATGACATCTGACTAAGGAGGTCATAACATGGTAATATCATTACTTTCACTCTACCAGTCACAAGATTTCCATCCATGATCTTCCAGATATGGACACAGGTCCCTAGGATCCAGCTTCTGCTGGTCAGGACTTCTGGCACCAGAAAATCGCGACGATTAGTAAACAGCCCTGGAAATATAGAACTATAGGGCTAGAATACTAGCCTGCACTCTGTGTAGATATTTTGCATTACATGTCTGTGAACAAACAGACTGAACACCTGACTTGGGGGTCTTACTTCTGAACTCTGCACTCACAGTGTAAACCCCCAGTGCCCGTGAAGCATGTTAACTACACAGTTACGTTAAGTATATTCTGGCCTTTGGGTGCTGCTTCCTGTTAGGACCTGCCAGGCTGCTGCCTCAGACCCCCACTCTTCACACTGCTTCACTTTCCTGCCGGTGCTTTTTGTCACACACAGGGTAATGTGACGTAAATTTCTTCATCTGGGATTTGTGCAGGACAGACACAGACAGCATGCATGTAGCCCCGATGTTTTTTGTCTAGCAGAGATTGTAATAGTTGTACGAGGTGAGAAGGAATCCACATGCATAATTTTTTGCATGTTTACTGTCCTGAACATTTTTACTGCCCAGGCATCATACCACAGTATACGGTCTTTTCAAAAGCAAAACTATTAGTTACTATTTGTTACTGTTTGTTGCAGTACATCTGCCCTCTGCTGGTCTGGTGGAGTATCACTGCTGTATGCAGCTCCGACCACGACCATCCGCAGCCAAATGCAGCATGAATACAAGCTTCTGGGCACAGTGTCCATCAGCAGTAATCAAACTCTCCGCCCTGAAGGTGCGGTGCTATAAGAAGTATAATATTAAGTCAGTGTTTAGGATTGGCTGCTGCATCCAAGGAGGGATCTATGAATATGCGCTATGAGGAGGGGCGGAGCTTTCCTTCAGGCTCTTGACAGACAGCTCTGTGAGCCAATGCGAGACCCTGCTGGTGGTATTTCAGCCATGATAAACTGAGACCCAGGACCAGTGTTTATAAACCAGCCTGCGAGCTGCATTCCCGCCTTTCAGCACTGTCCTGCTCCTCCCACACACTCTCTCCATCTTCCAGGGGTCAAACGGATGCACCGTATGTCTTCCACTGATCGATGCATTACACTCTAGTTACGATGGGAAGCAGGACACACAGTGCAGCCTTTACAGCCCACATCCTCAAAACAAACCCCTTGGTGAAGCTGGAAAAGGCCCCCTAGGTCCCTCCTCCTCTGCATCTCTTTTTCATCTCTCTCTTCCTTGACCTCTCTCCATCATCTTTCATTTAGCCAACCCCTCCCCTCTTTATCGCTTTTATCTTCTCTCTCTCTGTCTCTCTCTGT